CTTCCAGGCCATTTTGTCAACTCTGGTACATGTGCCTAAGAAATTTTATCTACTCTGTAAATAAATAAAGTGTTTAGACAGGAACTTTTTTCCAGGGTATAGGAGGCTACTTCCGGGGGGTGCTTTTGAGATTTTTTAAAAAGACATTGAAAACACGTGGATTTGAGGGTAGCCTTTTTTGCAGATGCAAAAAAATAGAAAATGCGGTACGTACCCTGGTTTTTTGGTGCCAGCTAAGGGCGGTTTTTTAACACCCCTTCATTAATATTTTTTTCATGAATTCAAATACCTGATGTTTTACGGGAAGAAACGTGTATTGCTTTTTAATATACCAAAACTCGCTATTTCGGGGGATTGCGTAATTCTAAAAAAAATTCAGATAAATTTCAAAGGTAAAATAAAAGAAAATGTTGGTATTAAAATATAAATTATATCAGTAGAATTGAATGCTATTAATGTCATCTGGAGAAATAGGCTTTATAAGGTTTATATCATATCTTTGTTCGTCTGCACTTAAATTTCAAACACGACAGAATTTGTAATTTATCCGTAAAAATTCATAAATTCTATATACTTTAGAGACTTACCGTAAAAACTTTCAGGAAACTTTCTATGAAGTCTTTTCTGCACCTTAAGTGAAATTTTATGTCGATTCGAGGTGTCGATTGATTTTCAGAGAAATTTTCTATCTTGCTATTGATTTTTTTTTTTTAAGGAGAAGGGGGGGGGGGTTGACTTATTTATTCTAAGCATTTGTGAAAGTGAGATGTGAGATTTGTAAATACATCTACGAACTTGAGCTGGATTGTGACCTTTCGGTCAAGGGGTCAAAGGTCAAGGTCAAAGGTCAAGGTCATCAAAGCATTTCATAAAGAAATATGAAACTAACGGCCATATCAAGTATACATGTCATTTGAGCATTGCACGCGCGCGCAGGTGCAATGCATGAAAGCCATATCATCGTGACTACACTTTTAATATGTTTCTATTCTTTGAATTTCAAAACGTTTCATAAAAAATTTACGACTATATCAAGTAAATCGGTCATTTAACGCATTGCGCGCGCACACGTGCATGCATCTCCTTGCATTCAAGTTTGATAGTAGCATAATGTAGGAATCCGTCATATCTATTCATATTCTAAATTTCATCCTGTTTTGTTGAGAATCAAAAAAGTTATAGGCATTTAAAGTTTAAGCCAATCAGATCGCAGCACACATGCATGAGCGTGTTTTCTGAAAATTTTTATATATCATATTTTAGGACGTCTTAAGGCATGCTTATGTTTTAAAATTGAAAGTATTTTGTCAAAAAACAAGTAAGATATTGAGATTTTTGTTTCAGCTAATCAGAGCAAAGCGCACGTGCACGCGCGTGCATGCATGTGCATGAGGACTATAACTTCTTGTAGGAGTCTATTATGTCTGTCTGTGTTCTAAATCTCATCCTGGTTGGTTGAAAAACAAGGGAGTTATAGCTTTTTAAACTTTCAGCCAATCAGATTGCATCGCACGTGCATACACGTGTTTTCATGATAATTGCTATATATCATGTTGTAGGATATCGTAATGCATGGCTATGTTCAAAATTTCAAAGGATTTCGTCAAAAAACAAGAAAGATATTGAGACTTTAGTTTTAGCCAATCAGAGCAAAGCGCACGTGCATGCGCGTGAGATCTTGCTATTTTGACCATGTCATCTTGTCTATACTACTAATATATCCTTACTTTATGAGTTTCAAAGCATTTCATCAAGAAATACAAAAGTTATGGCAATATACATTATATTGGCCATTTAACGTGTTGCACGTGCTCGCTCTTGCAAGCACGTGCGCGCAAAATGACCTTGATTCCGCAAATCTACATAACATGTCTACTAACCCTAAAAAGGTTTTACCTACTTCGGGTGAACAGTTTACAAGATCACTCGCCGGACAAAAAAGTACCCAGGAAGAAGAAGAAAAATAATAATAACTAGGGCTAATTGTAACGGGGACCGTTACAGATGTACCCAAACGCTCCCCAAATCCCTTTTGGTGCCGTATTCCCTGTAAGCGCTATTAAGTAAAACACACTTTATGCAATTAAGACTTAAACAACGTTTTCCCAGAAGAATACAAAATATATTTAAATTTTAGCATTGCACGCGTGCTCATCTGAATGCATGAGCGTAATGACCACATCATCTTGTCTACACTATATATATATATATATTTTAATATACTAAATAACAAATCAATTAATCCAGAAGTATTAGAAAATACACTCATTTAAGCGTATTTTAATATTACTCATTTCACATGCACGCACGTGCATGCACGTGCATGAGGACTATACCTTCTTGTAGGAGTCTATTATGTCTGTCTATGTTCTAAATCCCATCCTGTTTGGTTGAAAAACAAGGGAGTCATAGCCATTTCCAGTTTTAGCCAATAAGATTGCAGCACACGTGCATGCGCGTGTTAACACGACAATTGTTATATATCATATTGTAGTAGATCCTAAAGTATGTATATATATTTTAGATTTCATAGCATTTGGTCAAAAAACAAAAAAGATATTGAGATTTTTGTTTCAGCCAATCAGAACGAAGCGCATGCACGTACGTGCATGATGACCATACCTTTTAAATTATTTGTCTAGCTTAAACCCATCCCGTTTGGGTTAAAAATAAGGGAGTTATAGCCATTTCAAGTTTAAGCCAATCAGATTGCAGCGCACGTGCATGCGCGTGTTTTTACGACAATTTTTATATATAATATTGTAAACATCCAAATTGCCTTTTCTAAATTTCATATTATTTGTCAAAAAACAGAAAAGATATTGAGATTTTTGTTTCAGCCAATCAGAGCGAAGCGCACGTGCATGCGCGTGAGTTCATGCTAATTTGACAGTGTCATATTATCTACACTATTAATATATCTTTATATAATAGTTTCAAATCATTTAATTAAAATATGTAAAAGTTGAGCGATATTAAGTATATCGGTCATTTCACTCATTTTACGCGCACGCACGTGCATGCGTATGCGCGCAAAATGACCTTCGTTCCGCACACCTACACTACACACCTATTAACCCTAAAAAGGTTTTAGCTTAGTTGGGTGAACAGTTTTAGAAAAACTCGCGGACAAAAAAAACCAGAAAAAAAAAAAAAAAGAATAATAATAATAATAACTAGGGTAAATTTTAACGGGAACCGTTACAGATGTTCCCCCAAAAGCTCCCCAACTTCCTTTTGGTGCCTTATTCCCTGAAAGCTTCATTAAATAAGACAAACGCTATACATTTAAGTTAAAAAAAGTTTTACCAGAAGTATTAATTTCAGCATTGCACGCGCGCATTTGAATGCATGTGCGTAATGACCATATCATCTTGTCTACACTATTGATATATTCTAATATACTAAATATTACAGCATTTAATTTCCCAAAAAAATTTTAATCTAGTGTATTTAGAATTTTCACATTTCACGTGCACGCACGTGCTGCCTGCGCATGTTGACCATTCCCTGTTGTAGGAGTCTATAATATCTATCTATGTTCTGAAACCCATGCTGTTTGGTTGAAAACCCAGGGAGTTATAGCCATTTAAAGTTTCAGCCAATCAGATTGCAGCGCACGTGCATGCGCTTGATTTGATGAAAATTAATATATATGACATTGTAGGATATCCTAAAGCATGCCTATGTTTTAAATTTCAAAGCATTTCGTCAAAAAACAAAAAAGATATTGAGATTTTTGTTTCAGCCAATCAGAGCGAAGCGCACGTTCATGCACGTGCGAGCATGTTTATGATGACCATACCTTCTTCTAAGTTTATGTTTGTCAGTTCTAAATCCCATGCTGTTTTGGGTTTAAAAAAAAGGGGGGGTTTTAGCCATTTAAAGTTTAAGCCAATCAGATTTTCAGCGCACGTGCATGCGCGTGTTTTGATGATAATTCTTATATTCCTTTTTGTAGAATATCCTAAAGCATGCCTATGTTTTAAATTTCAAAGCATTTCGTCAAAAAACAGTGAAGATATTGAGATTTTTGTTTCAGCCAATCAGAGCAAAGCGCACGTGCATGCGCGTGAGTTCGTGCTAATTTGACAGTGTAACCTTATCTACACTATTAATATATCTTTATATAATGAGTTTCAAATCATTTCAGTAAAAAATGTAAAAGTTATAGCTATATTAAATATATCAGTCATTTCACTCATATCACGCGCACGCACTGCGCGTATGCGCGCAAAATGACCTTCGTTCCGCACACCTACACTACACACCTATTAACCCTAAAAAGGTTTTAGCTCAGTTGGGTGAACAGTTTCTGAAACCCGCGGACAAAAAAGCCCGGGGAAGAAATAAAAAAAAAAAATAATAAAAGAAACAGAGTAAAAAAAAAAGTTCCCCCCCCCTTGTTTGGGGAACATAATAAGAAACCAGTAAAAAAAAATATGTTCCCAAACTCCGTTTGGGGGAAAATAAAAAGAAACAGAGTAAAAAAAAGTTCCCCAACTTCGTTTGGGGAACTAAAAAATCGTTATCTTTTTTTTATTTATGCAAATATGCAGTCAATTCTAACAGGCGGAAAGTTTGTAAACTCATAAGACTTCAGAGATTCATTTCCAAAATGATGAAGAAAAGTCAGAGTGAAAAACGGTAATGTCACCTGTAAAGTTTGGTGTTAAATTTGAGTTAATCTCATTAAAGAAGTACTGCTACATAATATCATTTCTTTTTTTTAAAGATACTCTTATTTTTTTCTCTGAAAAATAGTAAATGGGTTTGCCATACCACAGAGTTTGGGGGATTTTCAGAATCAACAAAATCTTTTTCCCCCCCTTTGTCTGTATATAAGCCTATAAACAAGCAACATATTTCCAGATGCATATGTAATTACATCCATGTAAATTTAATTTATTCAAAACATATAAAATTTAAAATAATTTTCATGTAATTATTAAATTTATATTAGCCCCTTTGTCAAAATAAACCCAAAAACTTAAAAAAAGAGCCCACAACCAAAAACAACCCAGACAACCACCAAAAGAGCCCACAACCAACAACAACCCAACAACTACCACAAAAAGCCCACAACCAAAACAACCCAGACAACCACCACAAAGAGCCCACAACAAACAACAACCCAGACAACCACCACAAAGAACCCACAACCAACAACAACCCAGACAACCATCACAACGAGCCCACAACCAACAACAACCCAGACAACCTCCACAACGAGCCCACAACCAACAACAACCCAGACAACCACCACAAATAGCCCACAACCAACAACAACCCAGAAAACCTCCACAACGAGCCCACGACCAACAACAACCCAGACAACCTCCACAGAGAGCCCACAACCAACAACAACCCAGAAAACCTCCACAAAGATCCCACGACCAACAACAACCCAGACAACCTCCACAGAGAGCCCACAACCAACAACAACCCAGACAACCACCACAAAAACCCCACAACCAATAACAACCCAGAAAACCTCCACAACGAGCCCACAACCAACAACAACCCAGACAACCACCACAAAGAGCCCACAACCAACAACAACCCAGACCTCCACAACGAGCCCACAACCAACAACAACCCAGACAACCACCACAAAGAGCCCACAACCAACAACAACCAGACAACACCTCAACAAGGAAAACAAGTACAACCAGTCCTCCCCCGGAAATATCAAAAGTAACCACATCCCCAGCACTGTGCAATCTGGACAAACTGATGTCCAAGTTTAAGTCCAACCTTAACGTTGTCCTTGAAGGAACATCGAAAAAGCAAAATTTTCAAGAGGAGACAAGCTGAATTTTAAATGTGCCAAAATACCCGGTTTATGAATGGTTCTTTGGACAAGAGTGTGGGTTGGCGGACCCTGGGAAAAGGAAATACCTTACTGTCAAAGTAAGTAATGAAATCGTCGCTGGCTGGAAATTAGCTGCTGATCTGTAGCTCTCCAAAAAACATATATTATAAGGCGCTCCCCATGTAATTTTTAAATGACGTATGATAAGATATATAGGTCTACCCCTCATACTATAAAATATCCATATTTTATAGTATGAGATGCCTATATATACTTATCATACGTCTTTACAAATTTACATGGGGGGCCTATGATATTGATAATCGGAGAGCTACAGTGCCACCCTTTTCAAAAACTTTTTATTTATTCCCCAAAAAAGTGTGCTCGGTTCTCGATTTATTTCTCCATTTTTTTAAAATTGTAATCTAAACTATTACAAACCCGGGTTGTTCCTGACATATTTTTTGACTCTTTCCACAACAAAACATTCATCATAATTGTTGTTAATAGTCCTCCTGGCCCTGATTTTGTAATCATCGAACATTTCGCTTACACATACTGCCATTTTGGTGTCAAAGATAATTCGGTCCAATATGCTTCGTTCAATGTCAACTACGAGAATACTTGAAAAAAAGAATTTTCTTTTTAAATCTTCCATATTATGCAACTGAGGTAAGAATTTGGAAGTGAATCTAGAGCCGAGCGCACTTTTTTGTGCGCAATAAAAATCTTTTTTTTTAATAGTGGTTGTAGCTCTCCGGTCTATCAAATATATATTTTTTCTTTTCGGAGAGCTAAGATTAGCTAGCTGGAAATAGGGGGTTATACAAAATTCACTTGTATACCAGTCTGACTTTTCGATGTTAGAATAACACAAATTGAAAGACAGTTCCTATCAAAACATAATACTTGTTAATATTTCCGCATATGACAACCCGAGTCAAATTCGAACACTCTTCCTACTTGGAGGTCAAAGAAAAGAAATGCTTGTTTTCACACTTTCTTCTTTAACCAAGTTATCCATTTTTTTAAATGGAGATTTTCTTTGAAAAAGTGTTTATAGCCCCCCCCCCCCCCCCCCGCTTTGGTAAAAAGGGGACATTTAATCTAATTCGTCTGTTTGTCTGTCAGTTTGTAGATTTGTCCGCTTGTCACAAAAACTTTAACTTTGGTTATACCTTTTGAATGAAAAAAATAAGACTTTCATATTACATGTGTATTACCTGTGACAAGACCTTTCTAAATACACTATGATTTTTGACCCCGTGATTTTGACCTTGAAGTTTGACCTTTTTTTTTAAAAAAGCTTTAATCGTGGTATAATTTTGGAATAAGAAGATTTAGGGCTTTCATTTTCAAATGTATATTACCTGTGACAAGACCTTTCTAAATGCACTATAATTTTTGAGCCCGTTACCTTTGACCTTAACGTTTGACCTAATTTCAAAAATGTTAATTTTCCCGTGTAACTTTTTATGGAGAAATGGGGTTTATATTTGACATGTGTATTACCTGTGACAAGATATTCCCGAGCATGCTATTATTTCTGGACCCTGACCTTCATGTTTACCAATTTTAAAATTATCAACTTTAATAATATTTTTGTATGAATGACATATGATAAGGCGTTTATATTTTACACAACTGCCATAAATAATGACATCTCACCCACAACGACAACCGAAAGTGGGGGACCACAATTCTTTGACTTCTTTTTTTTTGGGGGGGGGGGAGGGTGTTTTGTTTTTTTGGGAACACATGGATTTTCCCTTTAGTATAATCTCTTATAATCTCTTAATGTTTAAAAAAAGTTTTAAAAATCGCCCGCCGCAAAAACTTTTCTGAACTTTAACGTATGTACATATTTGGTCAAAATTTGTTAAACTTCCAAAACTTTTTTTATTTTTTTACAGGATGCAAATGTCCATGTACACGTATGAAAAACCGGTAATTATCAGGACACAAAAAGAACTTCAGGACAAAAATTTCTGCCATACAAAAGAAACTTGTGCTGGAAAAAAAGAATTCCGCCAAAAAAAACCAAATTTTGTTGCGGATCCTCTCCTGGGAAAAGCAGTAGGATCTATTGTCGGTGTGGGAATTATTATGTTCACGTTCGCGATCATTGTTCTCTCAGACCTGCCTGTATTGTACAGACATATTCGATTTGGTCCACCAAAAAAATTAAGAGAAGCGCCAAATACATTTCCCAAAAATCAAGGAAAAAAAAAGAAAAATACTTGATTTTCCATGGAAATAAAAACAGTGAATTTGTAATCTATCTCTATAGTATATTCAATAAATAATTTGACTTTATAAAATGACATGATATAACTGGTTTGGATAGTAAGAGCAGAGTATAATGATCATTCTCTTTGGGAATTAATTATATAGTAGCCATGAAAACGACAACACTCAAAACTCGATTTCAAAAAAAGGAACAGGGAGGGGGAGAATTTAAAAAAAAATTTAAAAAAAGTAGAGAAAGGACAAACTACATGAAATTCAGAAAATTTGTGTCCCCCCCTTTGGGAAATAAACTGTTTCTGAAGCGGGTAAAATATGCCAATATGGATATAAAGATTTGATTGCTTATTCTTTATTATGTGTATAGAAGATTTTTTTTTATGGAATATTTATCACACTGTAGTGATGATTTTATGAGTTTGTACAAGTCAGACCTCATAAATTTTTCATTTCACATGCTGAATACTATCATTTATAAAAAAAAATATTTTTGGGAAAAAAAAAAATGGATGTCCCGGGTTGAACCCAGTTCCTTCCCTGTAATGCGGGACATCCCTTTACCACGTAAATGCTTTAAACTGACGAAAGTTATATTAAAGATGAAGTCACATACATGCGTATATTCACGTTCGATATTGTCAAAATTTTACACAATGCATGGTGTCTTATTTAACCTTTATTAAACAGTTCTAACAGATGTAATAAGAATATAAAGTCCGCCGATAAGCTGTTTTATACGTAATACATATACGCCAAATTCACAAAAATGAGATAAACCTAGTTTCACATTTGATAAACTAGGTTTATCGACTGTAAACTATAGTTTACAAACCGTAAACTATAGTAACGATTCGTTAAGTAAGTTTTCATCTGTAAAACTATATTTAACGGTTGTTAACTGTAGTTAACGAATGATAATCTAAGTTTATCTGTCTGTAATAAGCGTTAGCAATAGATTTTGTTGAAAAACATAGATTCACGTTTGTAAACCATAGTTTACAATCGTAAACTATAGTTAAGAGTTGTTAATCATAGTTTCACAAATCGTGAAACTATATTTATCAGATCGTTAACTATAGTTAACGGTTTGTAAACTATAGTTTACCAATCGTGAAACTGTATTTATCAGATAATCTATGTTTTGCAATCGCAAATGATTGTTTTCAGTGTTAAGTATAGTTTACGGTTGTGAAACATAGATTATCGCGTTAACTATGGTTTACAATTGTAAAATATAGATTAACGTTGTTAACTATAGTTAACAGTCCCTAAACTATAGTTTACAACCGATAAACCTAGTTTATCGACTGTGAAACTATGTTTAGCTCATTTTTGTGAATTTGGCGTGCCATACATGTAACTCTCCTCATACCATTGTGCTAAAAATAGCGTAATTGTAGTACAATAAATACTAATAAAACAAACGGATAGGGACACTTTAAGAGGGGTGAGAGAGGTCCTAGCGAGGTTTGGTATAAAATTACATTGCAAAAGCTCAAAATCTTCTTGAAATATCGCCCGGAAACGATAGTGTTACTCACAGAGAGAATGTATAAATTTACGACCTTGAACTTTGACCTCTTGACCTTAAACTCAATAGGAGTCTTCCTTAGGCCACAGGGAGTTGTTATGGAAAATTTCATTGCAAAAGCTCAAAGGGTTCTCGAGAAAAATGTAAATGAAAAGGCAAGTTACTTTACATTAAAATTTCATTTAAAATGTTTTTTTTATTTTAAAATCTCACAATTTTATTTTTCAAATGAATGTGAATGATCATATAACCTGTAAAATAAATGTATACAGTGTATATAAAATTTTATGAATTATATGTAACAATGGCAGTCTACACCCACATCAAACAATCCCAAAGAAAGTTCCTCGAATTTAATCTTCACCTGATCACATTCAAAGGCAATATTTCTGACTTTTCGCCATTATTACTTACAGCTCTATAATTGCATGCAAGATATGGTTTAAACAAACATGCAAGTTTTACAAACAGGATCGAGGAAAATCTCATAAAAAATATTAAGAAATCAGAAATTATGAAAAGTTTCAATCATCAATCATTCAGAGAATTTTTGACATACTAGAGATACAAAGTGCTGCAATAAGTCACAGCTGCATAATTTTGGACAAGCCAGCTGTAGACAACCAATCAAAAATTACATCTCTCACACAAAATGACAACCTGTTTGTATGGGTAAAGAAATGGAAGGAATTTTGCAGATGCTTAGAAACACTTTTAAAAAACAAAGTTCAATGATGTTGAACTCTGGGGTAGTGATCGAATTAAGATGTGTGGAGTATTTTCCCCCGAAAACTTCTATTCAACAATAAAGTAATGAAATTTATGCAACATGTTACCTTTTCCAAAAATC